CGCTGTCTCTGCAGTTCTGGAAGACCTGACCAAAGAGTGGACACGAGTCGCTGATACTAATGACGATTCTTCTGCTGGTTGTGAGGATCGTGCTGTGCAAGAATATCCTGTTTGACATTCCGTTCAAACTGGCGCTGAGCTTCTTATTTAAATACCACTAGGAGCGGCCGTAGCATTAGATCCTTCCATAATCCTTTCCCCATATTCGACACTTCGTAAAGTTGGTTTTTTCTTTCCGATGATCCTCCACTCAACAGGTTTCCCATTAGTAGGATCATGAACATGACTCCGGATCATGAACATGACTCCGTTTGCTAAGCAATGAATGGATGGCTTTGTCGAAAAATCAGGAAAGTTGGCAATCAAAAACCTTAATTCGTCACTTTTATGACGGTTGCTGTTATTTAATTTTTTCATTCATATGTTATTTCATCCTGTGGAGGAATGTAAGCGCTATAAGTTAATATGTCATCTTACTCCGGCTTGGTTTCCTAGAAATGTGACGAGTCTTCTCTTTATGTGACGTCAGGCACCATCCTAGGAGAGAGCGACTCCGTTTAGAGCGCTTGTTCCACGTTTCTCTCGCCAGCTTCCAAGGCTGTCCCATGTAGGTATTGTCTTCACTGGGTACCTATTTATATTCGAGTTTTGTTCAAGACAGCATGGTTCATCCAGTAAACAGAGGCATAATCTTCAGAAACGAGATTTTGGACTTTGGTTGCACTTGTGAGTCCCACCAGGAAAGGTCAACAAGTTGCCATGCCGTGCCCATTCGAGAAGTATATCAACGTGTGCGTGTTTGAACGTGAGCTCAAATCTGATTCCAGAAATGCAGAACAACTCTACAAAAGGAGCCACAGAGGGATTTCCCCACGTGGAATCCGCCAAATCTCCTCTGTGCATGCTTAGATTCAGTTCGAGAACCGGCAATGGTAAGCGATTGGCGGTGCAGTGGATGATTGAGTTGATTCATCTTATCTCTCGACAGATTCCGTCAATCTTTCTGTCATCGCAGCCTACTTGTGCTAGCACATCGCCAGATATGCTTTTTATGCAAGACCCTTAGTACAAGTCCGAACGGCTTTCGGATATTATGTGAATGATCAAAATCACAATTATTGCACAGCACTTGTAATGGTTTTCTACGAAAATG